TCCCATTCATATAACTGCGAGAAGTTCAAAAATAATTGGGAACCACCTTTTGGAGGGTCAAGGGAAACCCAAAGGACACACACAAACGCATTATTATTCTTCTTATTTTTTTGGGGGGTCCGATTCCTGAAAGAAGGGAACCACACCCCAATTAAAGAAGAAAAGGGAACAACCGTCCGCCGGGTTGGTTGGCAAGCCCGAGTGAGTCCAGTCAGTCCCCGGCCACGCCAGCGGCTTCTGTGAGCTCTGATAAGGATCGCCCGTCTGCGAGAACTTCCGGCCAGCGTACCACCTGCGCCAAAACGACCAAAACGAACACCGCCCCAAGTCTGGGTCGAAACAGGGGGGACTCAACAAAAATACAAAAATAGCGTGGTAAAAACAGGATGGGCACACGTCAAAAGAATGTGGACCATGGATTTGTCGGTCTTCCACAAAACCCTCAAAAGGCACACACCTCACTTCCTGTTGGCCAAAACCCAGGACGAGTCAAAGGGTCACATGCCGACATTGGCCAACAGCAAGTCCATGTTTTATGTGACATGTGCACCACTGAACTGGTCCAGACGAAAAGCAAGCGCAGTCAATGGAACTTGGGAAGTGAATCCCACCCCAGAATACTGAAAGTGTACGGCACACAGAACAGGCGGAATCCACGAAACACACAACGGCTTTCTAACCTAACCGACCATCCGCCTGCCGTCCTCCAACTCAGGCCTCACCAACACCTTAAACAGCGGGAGGGATCCTAAGAAACATGGCTTGGGGCCCTCATCGTGTTTGGGAAAACTAGGCAACTATGTCGTCACAATGGGAAAGTAAACAAATCCAAGAAAAGAGAAACGAAGGCTGGCAAGCAGGGCATGAAGGCGAATTGATAAATCACCTGAGCTTTCTGTCCCCTTGAGCTACCCCACCAACAAACATTGCGCCATGCTCACGCCCCCGTTTCTACGGCCGATTGGGTCATGGTTCCCTTAACAGTTCCCCTTGAAGCACCGCAAGTACAGGTCAGGCGACTCGCGGGCCAAACTCTCAACAACTTTTCGTGATCATTCGGACGCGTCACAGTCACATCGCCGCCTCTTGCGCTGTCCAGGGTTGGGAAGCTCCGTCAAATGGACCGCAAAAACTAACAACAAATTCGAAAAAATGACAAGGCGCTCCGCCTCCTTCTTGCCCTTCATGCTCAATTGAATCTTCGCAGCCAAAAGATAGAAGACCCAGGCCCGAGCAGCTAATCCCTTGATCGTGTCCGCAGGTATATGCTGAAGAACTCTTTCTTCGACCTGCTGCAAGGCGTCATCTACCTCTATATTTTTTGGATTGGCTGCTGCGGAGCTTGCTTTGGCGAGGCACTGTTTGTACTCCGTATTCCAAGGGAGGCCCAGGCCCGTGCAGGTCATCAGCCCTGTCGCCATGGAGCTGTCAAATCGGATCAGCTGCCTCAAACGCGTCTCAAAGACCTCACCAAAGCCAGGGACCTGAAAGCGATCTGCCAAGACCAGCATGCCCAAAACGGTTTGCAGCTCACGTTCACTCTCCGAGCTGTCTGGCTTCGGATCAAGGTCGGCTGGCAACTCACCCGTGTACAGCAAATACAGGAAGGGCTTGAAAAACCGCTCATCCACGTCTGCAAGGGTCAGTTTGGCTGTTTGGGCTTCACGCATATCGTGGTTCAGCATTGCGTCCCATACCGGAGATCGCCCGCTTGCAGTATTGAGCCAGCCTCGCCCATGACGATCTCCAAGTCAGTACGATGGCCTCTCTGTGCTTGGTCCCATAGAATATGGCCCAAGGACGGCATGGCAAGCGACGATCGCAAGGACTTCCTGTATCTCCCACTAAATGCTATAACCATGTTTGCATGTTTGCAGGGTCTGCCTCATTGTGAAACAAGCCTTTTTTCTGGTCAATCAAAAACAGAATTAGGGTCTGGTCCATACTTGAACACAAGTGCCGTGTGCGTGTTTTGACTTTTGCCGCTCAGGCAGGGGGAAATTTTGCTGTCCCCATCAAGAATCATGCAGAGCACTTTCAAAGGAACTGAAGAAAGATGGCAACCCATTTGTAAGAACCTGTTGCGGCTGGACTGGAATTCGTGGCATGTGTTTCATTGGTTTGCAAAGCTTGGTGTTTGAAGAATTGATCTGCACATTTTGCAACAATGCCAAAACCTGAAGCAAGGGAGTTCGAATTAAGAACCATCTTGGTGAGCTCTTTCTGCCCCCCTGTGAGCTCGCCATAAAAGACGCAGAGATTGATCCACATTGTGGTCGTCCCGTTTTTCCTTTCAAAGAACGATCAGGTCACCCGCAAGAAAGCAACTCATGGCATGCCACGGGATCCAAACCACCCGGATGAAAACTCGGTGTAGACCCCGACGCGGGGAAACTTAGCACCTTGGCTGCTGACCCTTCTGCAAGAACGACAACTTGTTTGTGGGTCCAATGGGAAAACCCCTTGATTTCCCAAAAGGCTAAAGGCCAAAGATCCCATCCAATAGCAATCACGGCACTGCAACTTGTCCAAGCTTTTGGCCTCCTTCCGACACATGCGGTGCGCAGAACCTGATCTATGAGTGATTCCAGGTACAAGAATAGGAGGTAGCCGTCAAGGGAAGCACCCATTCTTCCCCTGCCTGTTGAGTTGCTCCTTTAGATGTGCACCATAACAGGGAGGTGGCGACTCGAAACGGGTGCTTTCCCTTTTGGTTGCCCTTTCAACCTGAAAGTTGTTCCCTCCACACAACACACCATCGACCCCTCGATGAGGAATCTTTGAGAGCTTCTCGTAGGTTTGGGGGCCCTGTTTTTGTCCAAGCCCCCAACCTGGAGGTCATCAAAAACAGGGTTGGGGTTAGACATATCGGGTCCCCCTAGAAAGCTTTAGCTGTTGGTCCAGATAGTTTCACCTCAGGGTGATGTTGTGGGAAATGCAGGGAATACTGTCCACCTTCGACACGCAAACTGGCACCCCTGGCTTCCCTTTGGCTTTTAACGTTGACCCTGGATTAATAAACCCATCCCATTATTAAGGGGGTGTTCCCTCCAAAAGTGATGAATCCCCACTAAAAGGGAACAAAGTGATGAATCCCCACTAAAAGGGAACACCCCCCTAGTAATCAACGCTCCCAGACCCAACTCTCAAGGCCAACCACGTCTCCGTGGGGCAAAGCCACATCAGTTTCATTCGACAAATCGGCGTGGCAAAAATCATACCCAGCGATTCCGTTTGCCTATATAATAGGCAAACAAGAGAACCACAGAACAAAACAGCTGGTTAATGATAAAAGTGGCTTGCCCGGAGATCCGCTGGAAATTACATGTGAGCGATCAGTTCTTTCCCACCCCGCGGTTCTCTCACAGAGGGTCCGCTTCGGGCACTTTGCAAGCATGGGTGACCTTCGGAAAAATAGTTTGCTCTGGTAAACGGAATAAATCTAACTGACAACTAATTGCAATAATCTAGATGGCACTAATTGCAATAGATGGCACTAACGGAATAAATCTGACCTAATAAAGTGCCATCTAATTGCAATCCAACTAACCACTCCGTACCTCCCCTCGAGATGCTCGAGGGTCAGCCTCCCGATAGTAGCGCTTCAGGGGGTACTCCTCCAGCTGCAGCTGCGGGTTGAGCACCAAGTTCACCTGGGATGCTGAACACCAGGTTGCCCAAAGCTTGGTTGACGTTGGAAGTGGAGCCAAAATTCAAATTTTAGCAGTTTAGATTTCAACCGCTGAACCACAATAAACAAACATGTAAAATGGGGCAAGTGAGTCTGGAAAAATCAAATCCCTGCCGCGCCCAGTGACCCCGGTAACAAACAGGCAACGTTGTTTGGGGGCCAGGGCCAGGTTTTGTGAAGCACTCATCAAAAAGGACAACCGGGCCAATGTGAACCCAACAGTGCGCACCAAAAAGTGTTGGTTGGGGCTTTGGCTTGCCCTGCTGGTTCTCAAGCGCGAAGGGAACTAGGGACCCTTTGCTGAATATCATTTAGGTGGGGGGGAGTCATGTCCACCAACCATTTGTCTAAAATTAACCTCCTGCCTTTGCGGCTGAAACCCAGCGATTTTGAAGCTTGGGCAATGTCCGAACTCTTTCGCAGCAACGGACCCCATGAAACAAGACACGCCATGGCGACAACGCAGGACGGGCCCCCGAACCGGTTCGTCGGCCCAGTTGTTTACACTTTACACCCACGAGGGGACATTATCTTGCTGCTCAGCAAGGAATAAGGGAATGTCCTATCCACTCCTTTGAGGAGACCCCTGGGTTCATTCCCTCATTCCCTACTGAGCACCAGCAAATTATAATAGTCCAGTCAACCGCCTATCGCCGAACGGGAGGTCACATCCCCATGCGATAGCCGCCAACTTTTCCGGATCGCCCAGTGGATCGCAGGAATCCGTTTCGCCCTCGTAGGTAAACAGCCATGTTCCTGTTTCAAAGGCTCGTTCCATTGGTTCCCTGCGAGACTAGTCAATGGGGGTGTTTTTAGGGTACCCTTCTTAAGGTCGGTTTAAAGCGAAACCAAACAGAAAGCCACCATTTTCAAGGTACCCTGCAAACCTTGACACATCAGGTGGGTTGGTCTCAACATGGGAGAGACCCTACATGGCAATGGCTTCCTTTTTTGTTTTTTCGACACCATCCCAGACAGAGGGGGGTTCTGGCAAAAAAAACACAATATCAGATTGTAATGCAATAAGTACTTCTCATGCTAGTGGCAAAGAACCTCCATACCTCCAACACCCATACCTGGACATGCACAAAATTGGACACATATTTGTTGGGTGTTTGTTTGCGTGCCTGCGTGCCTGCGTGTCTGCATGTCCGTGTTTCTCTGTCTCCGCGAGCGACATCCAATGGGTGTCTCTTTTTCGGGGCACCACCAAAATGGACTTCGGTTTTCAAATTGGATTTCCAAAAATGAAACTAGCCGCACAGGAGTGCCCTTCCTTCCACTAGCATAGCATCTGTGGGAGGGTACCTGGAAGATTATTTTCCTCTTGGTTCCCCTGTGTGAGGTGCCATGTTAGTGCGACTAAGGGTACCAACGACATACAACTGGGCGCCTCACTTTGTTTCCAGAGTTGGCCAACAAATCGCCGCGGCTTAGGTGTAAGACAAATCCTGCCTCTCCCCTTTTCCGAGTTGGGACCCTTGCTTCGGTAGGTTTTAAAGGGAAACCAAGAGGAAACCCCCAAAGGTCACGCCGCTTTTTTTGAGGTGTTGCAACAAAACCAAGCGAAAACGGGACAACCAGAAGAACAAAACACATTTCTTTTTCGGTGGGGGGGTCCAACCCAAAACCCCCCCCCAAAAAAAAAGCAAGCCCCCTTTGACCTCGTTTTTGCTAGGCTTGAAAGGGAAACCAAACAGGAACAACTTAACTCGGTTGCTTTCTGCTCCCCTGCTAAGTGGTTTAATGGAAAGCCCAGTAGTTGGCAAAAAGTCAAAGTCCTAACATCCAAGCAACATGCACTAAAGTTAGAACATTGGAGTACAGCATATGTCGAAATAGAGGGGACACCTCCTATGTTGGATAGTTTCCGTTGGGTTCTCCAAAGAAACGAACCCCAGAACGGATACCCAAGACAAAACACAAACCCGGATAGTCACGAGTCTGGACTCCTTCTGCGATGTCCCTGATCAGAATTCCTGGTCGGGGAAGTCCCTTGGTACTCTTCGAGGAATATGGTTTGTTTGGAGTTCAAGCGGGGGGAAGGACCCTGAGGGTTCACCAAAGACAGGGTTCACCTTGTTCAGGAGTTCCTTGCTTCAAAGGAAAACGCTTGGCAAAATATGCAATAAATCCTTCAAAGCACCAACAATCTCCAACCTAAGATGTTGGTTCAAGAAACCTCACGCGTCACAAACAAAATCTGCTCGATCTACCCCAAAAAAGAAGGGAGCAACACTCTGTGCACCGATTGGCAACAGGACAACAGGGATCCTTACCTTATACACCTGAACATTGCAACTCGTAAATGGTGGCGTCCCTTTATTTTGGTTTTGAAAAAGCAACATGTTTCAAATGGTTGCAAAATGGAGATCTTTTAAGGAGCCCTGAAAAATACACGGTGAAAGAGGCATGTTGCTTTGTGAAATAGCCCTGGACAACCGGGGTCCAACCCCCAAAAAAAACCAACTCATTTTGGGACCTCTTTTTTGGTAGGTTCTAAAGGGAAACCCAGGAACAACTTCAGCCGGGGCCCGACCCCCAACAAAAAACGGCTCGAGGCCTTCCGAGATTCCGAGCTCCGCGCCTCGGCGTTGAAGGCCATGCCGAAGAGCGCCAAAGCCGCTGAGGCGGACTGGGCGGTGGCCTTGGGAAGCGCTGGACGGTGGAGCGGTTGATGCCCTCAGTCCCCGCTTCCCATGGTTTCCTTTTGTTGTCCTATGGTTTGCCATGGTTTCCTATGGTTTGGTGTGGTTTCCTGTGGTTTGTCCTGTGGTTTTGTTTCCTAAAGGATTCCTATGGATAGTTGTTTTTCATTTCTTTTGGCTTCCTTTTGTTTCCTATGGATTGAAATCCTGTGGTTTCCGATGGTTTCCTATGGATTGATTTGTGGTTTCCTATGGTTTCCTATGGATTGATTTCCTCTGGTTTCCGCTGGCTTGCTATGGAATCCTATGGTCAAGGGCCCCCCTTTAACGAATAGCGACTAATAGGGTCTAGGCATGAATGAGGGAATGACCCCTACTGTAAACCATCCCCTGTGGTTTCCTTTAAGGAACCTCTAGGTTCATTCCCACCACCCTGGGTCTGGGTCATTGATGTCCTTCCCGTGTTGGCTGGGCAAGCTTTGAAAGCCACTGCTTGCACCAGCCGGCCTGCGTATGTCAGCGGCCGTGCGTCTCGGGGCGTCTACCCTGGACTAGCGCAAGGTCATGGACTTGTTTGTCCACGTTGCCAGCCAGCCTTCAGCCGCTTCATGCACGTGTGCTCTGCCACGAACACTTGCCCCTTCTGGTACCCGAACTCAGGCAGCAGGTCCGTTGCCTGCACAGCCTGCGTGCTGTCTGTCACCCGGCTCACTGCAGACCAGTTCAGCACGATCAAGCCATGACCTGAAATACGGTTTTCTAAGCCCAAGACGTGTCACCCTCATGGGTTAGGGTCGCCATAGCTCCAAGTCGCTTGAAACATAACAGCGGCAACCGAATGAACCTCACTTCAAACCAGCAACCCAATTGTGTTTCTGCATGTTTTTGTTGTTAACATGTTGCAACTATGTCCGAAACCACAGCAAGAATTCGATCCCCATGTAAATCTTCACCATGATGAGATCGTTCTGAGCTCGTCATAAAATATGCATCAAATTGGATCACGCAAGTTGAAGTGAGGCAAAAGGTCAAGCGCTACACGTGCCATATCCTGCGCAACTTTAGAAACCTCCCCAAAAGAAAACACATACCCGCACACAAATATGCATATATATATATATATTATAATACCTATATATGTATGTCATATATGCACACAAGGCATGTCGGTTTTCAGCCGCCGTGCCTATCCGGTGCGGGTTGGAAACAAATCCTTGCTGGTCAAAAAGGCAAAATGGATTATTATTATTGTTTTAAAGAAGAGACAGCCACAAGCATGCTAGTTTATGAGTCTGGTCATGGAAAGTTAAATGCCTCCACCCAGAGCTTCCTGGTTCCCGACTTGCGAATTGCTGGGGCAACGCCTTGTTCATTGCAGGGTTACGGCCCTGAAAGAAGGTCAGCAGGTACGCAACTCCTAGGATGCCAAATGCAAACGAGATTGTTGGTTGTTAGGGAGTCCATTGAGGCATGGGCGGCATGGGTCGAACCTTGTATGTGTTCTGGGACCAGGGACGAACATATGCCGATGGAGGGCAAATCGGCCAACACCCGTGGGCAAATGGAGGTTTCTCAAAGCAATCGGATTGCTAAGATGGTTGGTTTTCGTTTGGATATCTTGAACTACCAACCAAAAGGGGATCAGAACCCATTGTGGGAAACTCCCAAACAAAGGCTTCAAAAGGTTGGTTTCCGTTTGTTCCCCTACCAACCAACAAGCGGTCTGAATCCCATGAGGAAAAGAACAGGCCAACTCACTTCCTGAGTGGATTGGCCAGAACAAAAACATCTGAACTTGTTGTTTACCACTAAAACCACTGAAATGGTCTTCTAAAAAACATGTACATTCTAGGAACTCGTGAGAAAACGAGGTGCCAAACCGGTTTGGGGGGTGCCAAATGGATTCAAAAAGTCAAAAAAACATCCAGGAGATCTTGGCTTAGAGGTACCCAAGGCCGACTGAGAGGGTGCCAAAGTCCGCCCTCCCCGCGAGCGAGTCTTTCGCGGAAGAAGGTCCCCGGCACTGAGGGGGTCCAGAATGCCGTAGACCCTCAGACAGCAAAATCCAAAGCCCGCCACGGGAAAACCCTTCGGCCCCCCCTTCTTCTTCTTCTTGGAAGTGGATTGTGTGTGTCTTTTCTTTCGGGGAAAACCCTATGTTTGGGGAAGTCCCCTTGGAAGTGGTGTGTGTGTGTGTCTTTTTTTGAGGAAAACCCTATTTTTGGGGAAGTCCCCCCTAGATTGACTCACATATCCATAAAGGAAGCCCGGGAAAAAAAGGGGCACGGGTGTCTAAAGTTTCTTGGAAGTTGATTCGGGTTTGTGTTGTGTTTTCTGGTGTTTTGTTTTCTGGGGCGCCTTTGGAAGGGTGGGTTCGATGGACATCGAAAGGACAGGCCGCCACAGCAAGGGGTCCTAGTTTGACTCACAGACCCGTTTTGGCACAAGGTTCCTTTAACATTGACAAAGGGCATCGCTGGAAGTCTGGGTCGCTAAATGGATTCGTCTATAAAAGGGATGCGGAGGAAACACGGGTGCGTTCTCTTCAGCTTCCCTTCAAAACCATCCAAACAAGTGTCTCAAAAACCAGCACACTCAATCGTTCGAATCAAACTTCCTTGTGCTCAGCACGGAATGACCTTCCGGGTGTCGGAAAGGGATTCCCTCAAAGGAAACCAAAAAGGGGATGGTCTTCCCGCTGCGTGCTTAACGCCGTGCATCGGACCCGGTTATGATGCCCAAGCGGTTCTCATGCCATCTGTTTTTCCAAGCAAGCTGCGAACATATGGGCCATGATATAAAGTACCCAGTGCTTCTAGTAAAGCCACTAGACTAGGTCTATCTCTTGCAATTTCTTACCTCCTGGTTTTACATCAGGCTTCCAGGCAAGCCGCAATACTAGGTCTATCTCTTCCAGTTTCTTACGTCTTGGTTTTGCATCACTTCCCCGGTCACCTACGAGAAATGTAGCTGGAAGCATTCTTGAGGCAAACCCGCAATCCCCAGCTAAAGGAAATGATCCTTGAAGGGGAAGTCAACCAGTCAGAATCAAGCCTGGCTCCTTGGTGTCTTGTTTTTTGAGTGCAGTCGAAAAAGTCCTTGACTCTTTGTTTGTAACTAAAATGGTCCTCCCAAAAAGCCAGCAACTCAGGGAGATGCCACCTGTGAGGCACCTGGAAGATCAAATTTCCTTTCGCAGGGACGCCCTCACAGGTCCATGTAGGAGGGAGGATACTGTAACTTACGATCATGAAATCGGGAACCCCCGGCAACGGACCTTCTCATAGGTAATCATGGGTAAGCTTGCTTTGCTTCCAGAATGTTCTTAGTTACCCAATGGCCGTGGCAACAAATCAACACTCCTGGGCCACAAAAGGGGCTAGGAAATGGTGAACTTGATTGTTCATCCCTCACGGTGTCCTTTGAGAAAACTGAAGTGTGGATAGTTTGGCACCCAAAGCCAGATGGGTGTTTCTCAAATGGCTCATGACCCCTTCCATTTGCTTAAGCCCCCTGGAAAAAAACAACAATATGTCCAATAGTGATAGATTCCCTTTAAAACCAACAGGGCAAAATAAATCATATTCTTGAGCAAATGGAAGACCCCCTTTTGGTTGGTAAAGGACAACTTAAAGGAAACCAGCCATTTCAGGAACCCAAATCCATTTTTAAGAAATGCCCAGATAGATGGGTGGCTTAAAATAGGCAGACCCCACAAATTGGTTTGTGGTCTTTGTTCAAAACATCACCAAAAGCGTACCCTCAAAAAAGATATGCCACCCAGATCCGTTTTTCTTGGGGTTTTACCGGTATGCTTATAATTAGGCCCAGGTATAGAATGTACATTTGTTTCTGTTTGCTTCACTTTGAGCCGCTGGAAAAATGCAAACCTTCGCTGACGTTGGAAGGGGAGCAAGAATTTGAATTTTAGAAGTTAAGTGGGGATTTCCCCACTAAACCACAATAAGCAAAAGTGTAAAGTGTTTCCCAACAACAACCATTAAAACGTATCCCAAGTCTACCGCTTGCTGCCTCTGCCAGGTGTCTCTGTCCCATCTGTGGCTCTGGCGTGATCGGCGAGGCCGCATCCGGCTTGGCCGGCGGGATCTTCACCCTTGGACTTGCAAAGTGCAACGTGCGGTCCATGCGGCTGCTTTGGTTTTTCTCAGCTGCCCAAAAAGCAAAAAAACAAAAACGGTTTGGGTGCCACGGCTGAAGATGGACCAACTTATCCTTTTAAGGGCCATGGCTAAAAATGGACCAAAAAGGAAAACCAAAAGGTCAAAAGGTCAGCTTTGGGGAACTGAGCTTTTTGAGGGTACCCTTGTTTAGGTTGTTTAAAGGGAAACCAAAAGGATAACCCACCTTCTTGGTTGTTTTTCTCTGTTTTGAGCGCATGTCCATGCAAAAGCTTCCCAAAAGATACCAGGCCCTTTCAGTGGCCGTCAAATTTGCGCGTCAAATAGCCCAAATGAGGTCCCTTAACAAACCATCCGACTTCCGTTGAGGTGCTAGCAAGGCTTGTCTTGGGAACAAGGTACAAGCGTGGAAAGCAAATGCCACGCTTCCTTCTGCGTTCGTAACAAGCAAACGACACGCAAAACTTTTCCAGCCCAAACCGGACGAGCAGGGCGGCTCAAAAACTCTCCCGTGCTCTCTGGCTTTCGGCATCCACATGCTTTCCCCTTCTAATCCACAGCCCCTTTGCGACAGTGGACCATGGCTCCCGATGTCTCTGATGACCTTGAGGGGGTTCCTCTGAAGCCCTCCAGATTATATGGTCCAAAATGAAGAAGTCCATGTCCGAACTGCCCGCGCAAAAGGACTGCACTGGCTCCAATCATGGTTGAGCGAACACGTATCCCCAAGATGCATTAGGGCAACTTTGCATAGTCCTCAAAATGCAAGCACGTTAATGGACCCTAGAGTAGTATCCTCACTTCCCAAGATGGACAACAAGCAAATCCAGAGTGCTTTGCGACTGAACCGGTCCTCCGCAAATGGTCGCAAGATGTCGCAAGTGGTGTTCACCATAGTTCTAACCCAGTGAAAGGGGGCCTTACCCATGGCTTTGGTGGGCTCATTTGCATATTTGCCAATCCCGGGTACCACTGAACCCTATAGTAGGTAACCAGCTATTTCCCTTTTGGCTTCTAGAGTCAGGGAAACCCCTTGGCTTCCTGACAAATCCACCAAGGAATTACTGGGCAAGGCAAAGCTACCCACACACCTGATGTACCAGAAAATTCCCGCATGTGTAGGTAACCAACCCTTCGGTAATTATGTTTACCTCTAGGTTTTAAAACCATGGATGTTAAAATCCCAGGTTTACTCCAGCATACTTCCCATTTGCCTAAGCTTCCTGGAAAAACTAAAGATATTTTCCATAGTGATAGGTTCCCTTTAAAACCAACAGGGCAAAAAAAACACATTTCAGCCAATGGAAGGATACACCGAAGCTTCCGGGAGCGGCCTGGCCTGGGACCGAGGCTTCCCCTTCGTCCCAGCTCTCTCCCGCGATGAGCCGAGGAGCCGAAAGGCCGCCGGCGCCTTGTTGAAGATCTTCGCCGGCTGCGTGAACCTCACGCGCTCTCAGACAAAACGCGCGCACCCAAAATGACTATGGGTCAAAATTAAACCCTCGAAAACGGCAGGTGTAGTCCTTATTTCCATTTACCAGGGTTCCATTTTGGGCACACGTGTTTGACCCACATCCAGATGGCATGACACCATGCGGTGTCTCCTTGCCCCCCCACTCCCCCAAAAAAGTCTAAAACAAATTTGCCGCCGAAAATCGGGATGAAACCACTTGGATGGCTTTTTCCTGCTCTTTGCGGGATTTGCATTTTCCCTCCTCTCCCCTTGTCCCCCCATACGACGCTCGCAGGCTGAGCGGCGACCACTTTTTCGCGTCTAGTCCGCCTTGGCGCGGGGCGCGGCCACCAGAAGGGCCAGCAACAGCCCATGGGCCAGCTGTAAGAGCAAGCTCCCATAGGCGGTGGGCACACCCTGAGTGCGCCAAAACCGGCCGTCGGGACCACGCACGTGGCCCGAGCTGGTGAGCAGAAAGGGCAACTCCACCTGATGGAACCCATGGCTCCATCCCTCCCAGTTGATGGAAGGGAAGCCTTTCGCTAGGCAGGAGCTTCAACCCACTTGCTACGGGGTCAACGGGGGTGTTCTGCGGAGAACGCAGAATTGGGGCAGGTCGCGTCTCGCTTGACAGCTACATCAAACAATTCCCCACAGCTCCAAGGATTTGCGGCTCCCTCCCCTACCAAAAACGCCCTGAAATCGGGCGGCGGGAGGGGGGGCCTTATTTGTGGAAGAGAACGGGGTGGAGACAAACTCGGGCGACCCACCTGTTCAACAGTGTTGTGCCAACACCCAAAGAAAACTGTCCACACATCCATCCTTGAGATTGGTAGAGGCTCGGAGTAACCCAGCTTCAAGTTTCTCTTTCAGGCTTCCCTTTCAACGTGAGCCATGTGTTTGTTCGCACACCCTCACAAAATCTGCTGCCCTGAGAGCACAGAGTTCAAAAGGAATGATTCGGGCTGCTTGTGAAGGATGATGCAAGAAACTACTAAAGACGGATTGTCGCATGGATGGCTCAAAAGCAGAACACATACGATAGGTGTCCTTTTGGCAAATGGAACACAATCAATCCAAACCAGTGGGATCTATTTCTAACCAAACTAACCAAGGACACCTAGGAACACATACATACAGGCCGCCGTGTGCTTCTGTTTGTTGTGATGTTCCTGGTCGAATGTCTCAGGGTTCCGGTCTGGCTGAAGCAATTCTCGCCTCTAGTTTATAGCTTGGATTGGTGGCTTGGATGCACCTTCCCATTTGTGGCTTCACGAGGAACTGGAGCTTCAAATCGGCTCAAACTCCCCAGTACAGCAATCTTCATCCTGCCACTCCTTGGTGGTGTGTCAAAACACGGGGGACCCCGAACATCATGGTCTAAGGTTGCCTTCAACAAAACAAGCCCACCTCAAGGTTCCTTACCTCTAGGTTTACAGTTCCCCCGCTACCTAACTGCCACGGCAACTGGAAGGAATCACATGCAGCACCGAACTGCAGGATTTTGCCCATCCACAGTATTTCTGAACCATGTTTCCACCACGTTTGGTGGAAGGCCCAGAATGGCAAAGGTTTCCTTCTGGCTTCCTTGGTTCCTTTAATCCCAAAAGGCCACCCTCCCCAAAACTCACTTCCAGAGCCAAAAAACTCCAAAGTGTTTAGTGAGCACCAAAATGGTCCAGACCCAAATGTCTAAGGCCCGGAACCCGTGGAGTGAGAACAAAGGATCCACACGTCCACTTCTGGTTTGTCTTCCATGTCCGTGGTCGCCCCCTGGAAGAAATGATCACACATTGCCTGCAGTGAAATCAAGTCCCTTGAGAACCAGTGGACAAACGACACAATATATCTATATACAACAATCATATATGAATATATAGTTGTATTGTACACAAACATCACATATATATATATATGTAAATGTATATATATACGTATATATATAGTTGTCTATATCCATTTGCCGCACATGGAAGTCGCCCCTCCACGTGCCCCCACGGGGATTTTCTTCTTTCGGCGCCCGAGGCGCCATGGCGGTGAGCAGCGCCGTCGCCAGGCACCGCAGCAACGGCGAGAAGCGTCGAAGCGCCCAGGCGCCGAGGAAGGGCACCGTGTGGAAGTACCACCTGGGCGTCTCAGCCGCTCGGCCCACGAGCCCAATCTCCGTGGAGGCGATTTCTTGGTTGTTCCTTTGGGCAAAAATGGGAAACAAGTAGGAAACACTACCTGGGTACCCTCCCAGCTAACATGGGTCTGTGCAAAAAGGTCCCTGTAAGGCGACTTTCCTCTGGGAAAGTGCCTTGTTGCACTTGAATGGTAGTTGGTGGGAGGGTAGATGAAGGTTACTAAGGGACAATCCCAACCAGAAATAGCTTCGGATATGACATGGTTCTGGGTTCACCATTTTTGTAGCAGCGTCTGATTGTAGCTCACCTGGGCCACATGGAGCCCGGGCTCCGTGGAGGAGTTTTTTTTTGGTTGGTCCCCTAAATGAAAATATGGAAACAACGTGCAGAAAATACCGACAGGGAAGCAGGCCCCTGGAAAGAAAACATCTAACACAATTCTCCAGTAGTGATAGATGTCCAGTTTGCCCCGTGTTAGCCAACAGTTACGCCCCGGATACGCCCCAGGCTAGTGGTGAATTGTGCTGGATATGTACTGGATCCAGGCGCCCAGAAAAGAAACCCAAGCTCCACCAGGAATCGCTTCCTGCAGGAAAAGTCAACCAGTCAGAACCAAGCCTGGCTCCTTGGTTTCTTGCTTTTGAGTGGATTGGTCAGAAAGAATCTGGACTCTTTGCTTGTCACTAAAATGGTCCTCCCCCAAAAGTCCAGCAACTCAGGGAGATAGTTTTGGAGGGCACCGGATTGCAGGGTCCCTGAAAAAGGAGCCACGCGCAGAGTTTACTTCCGAGCCACACCACAAACTGGAAGTGCATCGTCCGCAAGCAGGCTACGCCTCAGGGGGGGTGTTTTATGGTCAAAAAGCCCCCGAATGTACCGGGCGCTGAGAGGGGTGCTTCGTTGTCACTTAGCTCGGTTGCTTTCTGCTCCCCTGCGAAAAGTTTAACTTTTAGTGGTTTAATGGAAAACCAATTAGTTGGCAAAACGTTAAAGTCCTAACATCCAAGCAAAATGCACTAAAGTTAGAACCTTGGTGTAAGTACGGTGTATGATCGAAATAGAGGGGAGAACCCCTATGTTGGATGGTTTCCGTGGGGATCTCAAAAAAAATAAACCCCATCCCTGCTTAGAATCCTGGTGTTTCTGGGACATCTTGTGTGCTGCGGGGTGGCAACAAAACCTCATGCGTCACAATTCAAATCTGCTCAATCTACCCAAAAAAGAAGGGAGCAACACTGTGCGCACCTCATGGCAACAGGACTCTCCCTACCAAGCAAACGCAAAGGTTCTGCGCCAGCGACACCTTCAGACCGTGGCCTGCCCATAGCACAAATGGTGGCTTCTTGAGTTTAGGCGTCCCCCTAAAACTGGTTGGAGTGCTTTTCCATCAAATCCACATGTTGCGTCCAAATCTGGGTGAATTATAATATTTCACCCACCTGAAATAAGGTGACTTTGGGAATATTCCACATAAAGCACCATTTGGGGTGAGGTCGTGTGAAGTGATCATTTTTCACCCAGATCCCAGATCCAAATGATCACTTGGTACTTTGATCCTTACCTCTCGCAGCTATCCACTCAAAAGGCTCCTTTCTTCGCAAAACTGGGCGTTCGAGACCTTCAAACGCCCCATGACACTAGGCTCGGCCCAAAAAACCAGCCGAAGCCTATGTTCGATCAAGGGCATGTTCACGTGCCTGCAGATTCGCCTGGGATTTCCACGACTTTTGAAGTTCAGGTGTGAGATTTGGTGGTGTGAATGATATATTGCACCTTGATATGGCGTGTCTACTACCTTAACCGTTATGTAGTAGGTATGTTGCCAACTTTTGAAGATTCCCTTGATTTGGACACGGCCCCAAAATGTTGACTTGGGTTTGTCTCCAAATGGTAAATCATGGTGCATCACGAACATGGGACATGTCCCTCTAGTTTCTTTCAAAAACGCAATTCAAAAAGAGCACCAAAAGGGCGCCATTTCACCTGCCTACAAACCACAAAATCAGAGGCTTTCCCTTCATGTTCAAGCAAACACATCTTCGTAAGGGGGCCTGAATAGAGGTGTGCGTCCTTTGATACTGTGGGTAGACGAAACCCTGCACTCAAGAAACCCTGGTTTCTGATTCCATTCCCGTGCAAATACCAATCAACCGTTATGGTGCGATTTCGTCCACCCACCCACGTACGACCTCCGGTTGTTGGCATTCGAAACGCCCAACCCGGCAACAGATCTCCAGCCTATGAAGTTGCAGGAAAACCATGTGCTCACCACCATCCCCGGATCCAGCTTGACCTCGCTCTTCCACCTCCTGATGCGTTTGCCTCATGCCGGAAAGCGGGCGCCCCAAGCACGGTAATGAAGGAACTCTGGATACCCCCTACCTCAAGGCAGGGGGGTGGGGGGTCCCGAATTACCGTATTTCCCGTAATGGAATTGAGGGGGTGGGGATGTGCACGGAATTCTGGCACAAGTTCCGCGGGGGATGGCCCGTTTGCTTGGGAGGAAACCGGCCTGTTTGTTTGCGGAATTCTGCCCAATTTCGGCAATAACGGCCAAATTGGCGTGGGAGACTCTGTGCCAAAAAGCAATACCGTTAACTTGATGAAGACACCAACCGACCAAACAAAATATGTGTGTCCAACAGAAACAGTTGAACAACATGTGCCATGGTCAAAACTCCTGTGGAGCATGGCCACGGCAATCCCAATCATGGCCGTCTAAATCACCCTCACGGGTCTATGACCATCAATTTCTAACCTAAAATAGGGCGGCTGGATCACGGCACATTTCTTCAAAGGGTACTCCCACCCCAAAAAGCGGGGGGGCCCAACTGGTTGCAAGATGGTGAGCGATCTTGAGGGC